CGGTGCCCGGGCGCCAGGGCCGCCTGTGGCTGAGCCCGCGGCGGCGACAGCCGGGGGGCTGGGACGCTCGAGGGGGACGGAGGGCGGGGCCGAGCCAGGTGCGCGGGGTGCGAAAGAGGGTGGAGGGCGGCAGGTGCGGCGAGAGAGGGGTCGGGGCCCCGAGGGCGGGAGGGGCCCTTTCTGAGGAGCCCCGCGGCGGTGAAAATGTGCCGGTGAGGTTTGGGCCGGATCCTGGGGAACGCGGAGCGGTGGAAGTCGAACTTGAAGGGGAGAAACGGGCCTACGTGTGCTCGCGAGGGCACCTCAAAATAAAATGTGGGCATGTGGGAAGCCGGGCGTGGGAGCGGGGGAAGGGCCCTGATCGAAGGGCAGTCGGAGGAGAGCCTCAAGGAAGTGTCTCAAGTCGCGGCCGAGTGTCTTTGGTACAGGTCACGACACAGAGAGAACCTAGCCTGTGCTGTCTTCAGTTGTCTTCTGCTGCTGTTATCATTCTCGACCATCGTGTTCTATGTATAGGGGGAAGACACCCTCAACAGCCTCTCCTCCAGAGCTCCCACTTGTAACTGATTTTGCACACGGTTTTCCGATGAGTCGCAGTCACAGTGTTTTCTCGCGTGTATTTTAGCACATGCTTGTATGAATATATAGTACAGGGTGGTAGAGCTGCACAGGAGGCAAGTGGGGAAATAGAGGTAAAGGGGGATTGTAGTGCACGTAGAAAGTAAAATGCATAAGGGAAAAAGAGAGATTGTGAGAAGCAAGAGCAATATAAGGGCACAAATTAAAGAAAAAAAAAGTGTGATAAAGATAAACGTGGAAGAAAAATGGCAAGAGGAAATTGGAATCATGAGGCCAGGCAGAGTACTTAAGACTGACGGAGAATTTGGTGAAGTAACTCTTCCTCCTTTCCCTCCTTTACCTCCTTCCTTTAAATGTTGTCCCATCCTTTAATGTGGTCCTGTCTTCCAGTGCTTAAAGATTATTTTACTTCTCATCACAAAAAAAGATAAGTGTGTGAAGTAATGCATATGTTAATTAGCTGGATTTAGCCATTCTACGGTGTATACATGTACAAAACAACATGCTGCATACAATAAATATATACAACTTTGCCAATGAAATAAAATTTATACAAAACAGTAAAAATACGATTATTTGCTGTTTGGAGATATGTTATTAAGGGTTAGTAGAACATTTATAACATTGTGCGTGCCAGTAGAGTTTCAAGGTCACATTCCTCAAACATGAAGACTTTTATCACACTGTTTATACGTATTGATCAGAAAGAAGAGGTTGTAACAAAACTTGTTTTCTGAGAAGTACTAAATATACAGATGACAAACATACAGTACATTTATTCTTCTTTCAAGACCAAGATAATCTGATGAGAGGTGATCACAGTTTATAAATGATAGATATCACAGCTGTTGAACAGAGGCTATTTTTTTTCATTCTTTGGATCATCTTTCTTGCCGACAAGAAGTGTCATTTAAGAATCACTCTACCTAGCTGGCAATTTTGAGAAAATAGCCAGTTATTTTTGATGTTGAACTTTCATTTGTTGAAGGGTCTCTCCTTCAGTATTCATTCAAGTGAGTAAGAAAACATAATACCTATTCTGCTTTTGAGATGTAGGATATGTCTGTCTCTTGTTCTGATAGCCCACTGAAAGATGTTGAAAAGTCTTCAAGTTAGATTGCTGTTTTGAAGCTACATGAAGACAAACTATAAACTGAGATTGTAAAGCGTTTTGCACTGTCTTAACTATTTGTTTATAATTACAAGTTAAATTATATACTTCCGAACTATGATTCTTACATAGGTACTATGGACTACTTTGTAGCTTTATTATTATGCCAAATGTGTACAATACTTTGTTGATTAAGGAGTTTATTTAAACACAGTTATCTCACTTAATTGCCATAAAAGATACTTATTATCCCTGCTTTATAGATGATAAAATTTAGTTTTTCCCTTTCTGATCTGCCCGAGGCTGAAAAGTGGCAGAGTCAGAACTCATATCCAGTTCTGACTTGTCTTTCCACTACATCACAGCTGCCTATACAAAAATAACATATGGTGCTCTAAAAAAGTTTAAAATGCTCACAATCATAGTCTCGTTTTCATATTTTTGTTATTTGTAGGGTGAACCAATAATGTACCTTTTAAGCTTATGTTTTTTGTCGTTTTTCCAACTTTTATTTAGAGGAAATATTGAATGCTAAGTGGATGAAAAGGGTGGAAAAGGACAACTGTTGGCGGCAGCACCCAGCCTTCTGTTGCCCTGGACACTTCAGATGTGGTTTCATATCTGCCTCCTATTCAGCAGTAGAAAACCTGACAGTTAATCAGACTAGATCTGCTTAAGAGTCACGCGCCTTAAGGGTTTCATGCCCAAAGGTGTTACAGTAAATGCAATATTTCCCATTTTTTAAATTTTCTAATGATGTTTTAGTGTGCCTATGTTGTTTAGTACCAGTCTAGGATTGGTGCCCCAGGCAGTTGTTCAGTTCTTAACCCTGATTCAACTGTTATTGCTTTACCTTCCTACTACTGGACCTCCGGGATTATTTTACTTCAAATATTCTCAAGTGGAGCCTGAATAGGAGATTCGTGGAGTACCACTAAACTAATACACCACACTAGATTCCGTCAGTATTATCAACAAATGGTTCCTTTGAGTCATTGCTCAGAGTCACCTGCATGAGGCCTTCACTGACCACCCTATAAAATTGCAGTTTCATCTCACTCATGATCCCTGCCCTTCAATCTCCATCCCCAACCCTCCTCAATTTTTTCCATTGCTCTAACCTTCTAACATACTATTTAATTTACTTGCTTATTATGTTTTTGTTTTGTCTTTCTCTCCCAACCAGAATGTAAGCTTCCCAAAAGAGAGAGGCTTTTTTTTGTTTTGGGTTTCTTTTTTCTATTTTGTTTTCTTTCTCTCCCAACCAGAATGTAAGCTTCCCAAAAGAGAGAGGCTTTTTTTTGTTTTGGGTTTTTTTTTTCTATTTTGTTTTCTTTTTTTTTTTTTTTTCTTTTTTCGTGTCCGGCAACGGATCGCAACCCTCGGCGTTGCACCCGCACCTCGCTCAGCCAGTGAGCGGGAACCGGTCTGTATGTGGGATCTGAAC